CTAGCATAGAAATAAGTACCATATGGGAGTCCTTAACAAAGAAATAAAGAGAAACCACAGCAAGGCCTCAGCAGCAGTAAGAAAAAAGTGTCAGTGAATGGGGTCAAGCATAGCAACAATAGCAAGCAGACAATAAAAAAAATGGGTCTAAAGCCCCAAGTTATAGATTCAAGATTGTCTAATGGAACAATAGCCTAGTAGATTAAAGCCTTGGTTTGTGAATTTGGTGTTATAGTAATTGTCAGTTCAATCTCTGGGTTGGTCAGTACAGACTCAATAGAAGCAAAGCTAGCAATAACTGAGAGCAGTACTAAAAAGAACAAGACAAGATATCCCTAGACATAGACAGTAGATGAGAACAATATACTCCATAAATTAAATAAAGGGTTCAGTTAAAATTCCCTAAAAGTTACCTAGATTAGCAAACACCTGAAGTCACAGGAACTGAAATGTTGTTGTAGTAACATTACTTTTAATGTAAATAACTGTGTTGTTATCATCACCCTATACCAACGAAGATAGGTGAACAGCTTTTACTGCTGACGATAACTCTACTTTTCATTCTTGCAAACTATAAAATTGATTAATATTCACCGTTGCAGAGGAGAATCTTTCAAAGAGTCTGCCTAACTTTAGAGCAAACCAGGGCACCATTGACATAGTGCTTCTATTGAGACAAATCTAGAAAAATGTCATTAGCCAAGCCAATGTACCTAACATGTTTAACAATGTGAAATGGATTCTTGAAAATGAGGTTGTTGATTATGCAACTCAATCATGACTACTTCTATTAAGTTAAGGAAATTACCCCTTACACTTTTTCCAAAGTTTTGGAAAAAAGCATGAAGTAAAGCTGTATTCTTATCCTACACTGTTCTTGGTATAGTTTTACTGACAGCTTGCTTTCAGGACAGGTAACCTTCATAAAATTGGTATTCAATGTTAAAGGAAGACTTTAGAAAGGAAAGATGTGTTGAATGAACGATTTTGATTAACATTGATCAATATAACTTGCATTATTACTATACTTTGAGAGATGAAAAACCTTGCTCTATTAATTTTTTTTTTTGTAACAGTATGCATTAAAATGTATTTACTATATTTACTTTGAAAGAAGGGGATATTTTGCACAAATATGCATTATATATTAACTGCAATGGTAATTTGTAAATGTTTAAAATGTATATTAAAAATTAAGTTATTGGAGAAATTCTTCCATGAGCAAATGCTTATTACTTTTAGTAGAATAAAAAAAAACAACACATTTTCTTTTTTTTTTATTCATAAATTCATAGCCTCATTATTTAGTAATCAAAATATTTCCCTTAGCTTTCTATTACATTACTTTATCCTGAATTTCTGACCTTACAACCTGCTAAATTGTATTTGTCATCATAATAGAATGATTCTGGTTTTGATTCCATAAATGCTCCTAGAATTTTTTTCTATTTTGATTAAACAAATATTGCCTGGAGCAAAGTTTAAAGCTTTTAAAATCTTGTGGATGCACTACATGCAGAAGTCTTCATTCTTGTTTTATGGTCATTTGCAATAAAAATGAGCATGGTTAATCAGTAAAATTTCTCAGAAAAGAAGTCTTTTCTCTTTGAATGTGTTATTCAGAAAAGCCAATTGATTACTGTAGCATTGCAGTAGCAGGTTTTCTAGGTTTCAGCAATTAATTATAAAGAATTCATTTTGAATTCCACCAAACAGAACAACATTTTCTCTATCAGGCTTTTATTCATGTTGAATTCTTGGAATAAAGTTTTCCATGACCAGTGATGATCTTGTCCCAAAATGACTTTTTTTTTTTCTGTATTGAATAAGATGAGATACATAATTATGTAAGTTCATGTTGAACATATTTTCTTAGTGTGTGTATTTCTCTTAAGGATTCTAAATAATGTACTATAGTTGATGAATTCATACTTTATTTTTTTTTTTTTTTTCCCCTGCAAGTTTAATTTTCAAGTTCTGGTATCTTTTAGAATGTTCTTTATCTTTGACTTCAAAATCTTCCTTAAATTCCTCAAACCATTCCTAATATATTGCTTTTCCCTACTGCATCTATCATAAGCTTCAGTAATACATCGACTAGCTACTGTTGAATTTTTTCTATGGTGTAAACATGAAAAATAAATAATGCTGAATATGCCATGACTAAATAATTTAACCACACATTAGAAATTAAGAGTAAAGTTTGAATTTGATGGGGTATGCTGATAGCATAATGATTATCACTACAGACTGGAGTCTGTGAATTGTGTTCAAGTTCTGTTTTTGTTGTGTTCACTTTGCACTAATGCCTTTGGGAAAGGCATGAATCCATGTCTTCTTTCCCAGTTATGACAAATAGTAGATAGAGTACATAGGGTTCTTTAGCCTTTGTTGTCAGCCATTCTGGAAGGAAGACAATTTAGAATTTGGGAGATAACAGGAAATCACTCCACTTTCTAAAGAAATTATGACAATTCGCAGATAATAAATAAACTGAATATTTGCAGAGCTATGATTGCATACATCCTGAAAGAATATGGCATTAAAAAAAGACAAAAAAAACATTTCTAGGAATTCTTTAAGATTAGGCGAAAGATGGTGCTAGGAACATTTTCCTCAATATAATAATTTCAAGAAATTTCTAAAAGTAACATGCATACACTCCTTTTACTTTTCAAAAGAAGTTTTGAATATAAATATATTTCAGAGTATTAAATAGTGAAATTAATTTGTTAAATCTGTATTAACAGCAACATTGATTTTTAAGTCATTGGAATGAAGTTTGTGAAGAGATAATGAGACTTCAAAATAAACATTTCAGTTTGAAATTATGGGTGAAATTTTCTTGTATTGTATACAATTGAGATCTTATAACAAGACATTAGAGTAGTCTGAGAAATGTTTGAACATGTTTTGTAGATTTTAAAATATAATTCATTATATAATTTGAATTTTTGTGTGTATTTGTAAATACATATAAAATTTTATGCAAAATAAAGTGAAAAAAAAACAAAAAAACTGGTCCCTTATACCTACAATCTTACAACTATTGATGCACTACTTATAATTATTTCTCTTTATTTTAAACAAATGTTGATAAAGAGGACAATATAGTGCTTCAATTAATAGACAGAAATCTTTGTAAACAAGATACATATTCTATTTTTTCTATTTCATAGTTATATTCATCTCATAATATTTAAAATGTAAAAAGTGGTGCTGAGAATTCTCAATTCAACTCACTTCACAAAATCTGAACAAACATAAGAATTTGCAAACTTTTTATAGTAAAATAAAAAAAATTATGAAACTGAAAATAATAACTTTAATTTCATCTAACTTCATAAGTTTGGCTATAAATTTGAGGACTAAAGTATGTGTGTGGATGAACCCTCAATATCGGCATTAACATTTAACTCTTGCCCAATACAACTATTCTTTATTGATTACACTTATGCAAGCAGTATACCCTTTTGTTAATAAGTTGTTTATTTCACTTCTGATTTTACTCGTATAGATGAAAAATATATGCAAAACCAAAAGATGAAAAGTGATTTTCATTTTCTTTTAAATCACTTCTTGGTTGGGTGCTTAGAAATTTTCACCATATTATTGTCATTGGTCATTGATAAAACTGTATTTGATATCTTCGTTTTTGGTAATATTTGTGTACAAACACACAGCAAAACCTTTGCACTCACATATATTTAATTTTCAGGGTTTAAAATGAACACACAAATTTTGAGCCTTATATATTACGTGAAGTTTTGTGTAATCAAAATAACATTCACATGTGGCATGAAAATGATACCTTGAATTAAGTTCTAAATCAAATGCCTCTTTTCATTCTTTAGTTTTGTAACTATTAGATAGGACACTGTGACTTTGTATCTAACTAGAGATATAAACTGTTAGTATTTATTTTTTATTTTTTTGTGTATGTGTCAGCCTTAAAATTTTGTCATCAAAACACTTTATTATGCAAAAACCTAAACCTCCAGTCAGTTGAAAACTCCCTTGGAAACATTGATGAAATAATATAAATACTTCAACAAAAAGTCCCTCTTCAGTTTCACTTTTACCACTAGGCACAAGCAAGTAAATTGAAAATATAAATTATAATATGAAATATTATTAAAAAAACGAAAAAAAAAAAGTTATATAAATTTAAGTATAATGAAGCACTCTTCCTCCCAAGATATATTACTGGCTTTGTTCAGTTCAACTACTGATCAGTTGATCTGGGATAGATTAAAAGCAATATTATCTCAACTATTTTCAATGTATATAAAGAGTGGGGAGTTTAGCCATTTTTCTTTTTACAAACTAGAAGTAATAGTCAGCTCTTCAACATTGGGGAGTTGGCATCACATCCCACGTCTGGGCGGGAGATACTTTTTTCAATGTTATTTTATAAGAGATCTTCACTGTTATACACTTAATTATCCTCCTTTTAGTATTGTCTCTGAAAGAAGTTCTTGAGAATTTATAGTGCCTTACTAAATATCAAAAATATCAGTTTAGAAATTTGTGCTACATTCTGAGTAAATTGATATTCTGTTCTGATTTTATTTTACACACACATACGTGTGTATGTGTATATAATAAATATTTAATAGGTAATTGTGGTTTATTGTCTAGTATATGTTTGTCACTTATCTTGCATTGGCTGCAGGATAAGTTTCATTGTTGTAAGTTGTCATGATGTCTGTTGGCTTACAGTTGAATCTTTTTAGCGCTGTGCTGTTTGAGATTTTTGCATGCCATATTTTTGGCTTTAATTGAAATCTGTGTTTTTCTGTGGTGATGTATTGACAACAGGTTAGTTAAATTGTCCTGATGCTGCTGCTGCATGATTGAAGCATACAATATTTGTCAGGACTACTGTCATGGAAGATGGAAGAATCATGTCAAGGCATGTTGGCTGATATTCCTCTTCCAAACAGCTGTAGTCAACTGGAGCAGCATTCACTTTGTCCTTATTCCTCTACTTCTTCCAGAGGAAGCTGATGGTGGAGAAACAGTAACCATGCCCACTTCTGCTGACATAGACAATGAAGGTCTAAGCAGCTCACCAAAATCGGAATCAAAAGCAACTCCACTGATGTCGGAAACTAAAGGTAGAAGTATTGTATTTCTCTGAAATTTCTATTAAAAACAACATCTGTTAGCATTTAACAATTTATTTAAACTATGTTCATTTGTTTTCAGTTTTTGCCTTATTTCTACAGTCTAATATAGTCATGTATCATCTTACTTATAGATTTCTCTTAGTGCTTAAGTGTAATTGTGTTGGTAAAACAAGTATAAACTTTTTTCTTTGTTTTCTAATCTGTTGATTCTCTTTTTGGGGTGTTAGTATAATATGATATTTTTTTCAGTTTTATAAATAGTTCTCTCATTTTTATTTTTTTTAAATACTTTTAAAACATTTATATTTTGAAATTGTGTTTTCATAATTCAAGAGAAATTATATAACATTTTTCCGAGATAAAACCTGAATATTAAAACAATATTTTAAGATTTATGAAACTCAACATTTAACCATCTTCTGGATAGTAAGAGAAGTTTCCTTTTATGCCAACACTTTACAGGTTGTCAAACGTGTCTTTGGCATCCTGGAAAACTGTTAAAAATATGATATATACAGTTCCTGAAAGTTCTGAAAATAGTTTCAATGTAATTTCTCTTATTATAAAATGATAAATGTTAAAGTAATCAGATAATATATTCTTCTGACTTGTTAAATCATTGCTCTTGAGTTTCTATTTCTATAGTTATTTGATTTTTGTTTAATATTATAGAAAGAAGAACATGTGAGAGGCAAGAATTAGAAGTTTTTTTGTAATATTATATTGTAATTTGGAATTTTTATTTTATTTAGTTAAAGCAGCAGAATGTTATAGAATTTTTTCCTGGCTTTTCGAATTTATTCTCTTTGAGTTTCTATTTGTGATTCACAAACTGTTTTACATTTCTGTGATCCTAGTTTTTGTTTTTATTTTATGAATCCTATATATATAAAAAAAAATCTAATAGATTTTTTTTCTGAGGAAATAATTTTACTTTTAGTCTTCATCTCAAATGTTTCATTCTTAAAACTTTGTAGAAATAAATTTGACTTATAAATCATAAGTATTTAATTTATTCATTTTGCTTAATTGATTTTTTAACTTAAAAAAATATAAGTACAGTGATTAAAAAGAAAAAAAATTCCATATATATATATATATACTCTAGAATTATCGTTATTTTCTTAAAATTTTAAAAAGCTTTGAGATGAAATACAATGGATTAACATTAGTAGAAAATTAAGAATGAGAAATAAGTTAAAATTTTTTACTATAAGTAATGTATCCGTGTGCTGAATTTATTGTTCATTTATAACTTTGTGAAAGATTTGTAATTGGGACGATATTGAAGTAATTAAAATGTTAAATCTGTTTATTGATTTGTCTTGGAAATGTAAAAAAAGAAATTCTGATATTGCCTCATTTTGGATGCTCAGTGTAGACATTGCTTAATCTGTAATATATAAAGAAAGTAACTGTGAGCAGGTCATTATTCATTTACTTTTTATAACTATGTAATTATATAACTTGTGGGAACTTTTAAAATGTCAAGTAATTAATAAGCTGCTTTACTTCGGTTTTAAATCTTTGCAATGTAAGTATTGGTCAATAACTGATAATTATAATATCAATATAAAGTTGGTAAAAATGTATCACTATGCATGTGTAAAGGAAAATCAATAATAAATAAATCTAATAATTGGTGAACTTAATTGCTTTTTTTAATTTCTCTCAGTATCATTATTTAATAATTAACTTCCTGCAAGTTGAAAGAATTAATATTCCTCTTTAATTTTTGTACAACAGTAAAAGCATTTTATGTTTAATACCAAGCATTAGAAAAGGGCTTTTTCCAATATTGTGAATATAGAAATGATGTTTAGTTTTACATGGCTGAGATAGGCATGAAAAGCAATCTTAGTTGTAGAGGCTTACTACTAGTCAAATTCAAGCATAAAGCAAAAAAGGATTTTTTTTTTTCTGTGTGAAATCCTATGAACATTATGAAGTTAACAAAATCACAGTTAAAATTTTTATTTCTCTCTCTCCAACGACAATAACCTATATTTGAGGAGGTGAGTGACAACTCACTTGCATAGGGCAAGTAGATCACCATGGAGGCTTCACAGCAATTTACAATTAAATTAAATTTTATGTTCTAGAAGTGGGGGAAAACAAAAGAGAAGGCTTCTTTGTGTTTAATGATTAATTAAGAAAATTAATTTTGAGAAATTAGAGGAGTTGAAAGATTCTTAATAAAATCTTGGAGATAACTTAGTGAGTATCATTCTGTGCCTACCTGGATACACTCACCAAGTTGGGTAAAAATAAATTACTTCAGCCAAAATAAAAAAACATCTCTAAAACTCCGTTGTTTATATAAAAGCCTATCCATTGAATGGACGTGAGTTCTTAGGCAAAATAATTTGAGAGAAAAGTAACCGCCAATGGTTTGTTTACATAAGACATATTTGCTGATGGTTTTATAGGAAGAATAGGTTTTGATAAAGTTGGTTATTAAAAAACATGTGAAGTACTTCTGAGCCATGTGGTTGTGAAATTAATAGTTAAATTGTACCAATACATCATTGGTGATAAGTCAGCAAGTTAGATTCCCATGTAAACAATACAAACCAATAAAAATGTATTCTGCAAAAAAATAAAAAGGGGTAAGATTTATAGTATTATTAAAAAATGCAGTGATAAAATTAAGATACTAATAAAAAATAATACATAATAAAAATAATAATGATAATAAAATCATGCTACTGAAAGTAAAACTAAAAGTAAGATAAAAAAATAACAATGGTTAGTTTTAAATTAAAATTTATAATTCTTATTTTCAGTCTTAAATGTTAATCTGGGCCTAAATTCAAAGTCAAAAATAAACTACAATTCAATTAAACATTTTAATAGCAATAATAATTCATCCCAACAATAAAATATTTCGCAATAACCAATATGAAACAAACGGTGTCACTCCAAAATTTGTACCTGAAGATTGTAAATAGCATAAAACTGTGCAATCAATGTAAGGTATTAAGTATATTTTTTAATATATTAAATAGCTCTGTTATTTAACAGTGAGAACTGTTTTCTTCTTGCACCATAGTGTGTGTGTATATATATATATATATATATATATATATATATATATATATATATACACACACACTTCTTTATTATAGGATATTACATTTGAACATGTATGTAAAATCCCTACATAAATGAACTCATGTTTTGATGTATATCACTGCATCTCATCAGGCGGAGGTAAATTTTAATATTTACTTACATACAATCTCTTTTCACTGCATAAAAAGGAAAATAAGAAAAGCGGGCAAGAAAGAAAGACATAAGATATAGTCTCATCTAAAAAGAAAGAAAGACATAAGATATCTCATCTTCAAAGAAAAAGAAGAGAGAAAGATAAATATAAGGATGATATAGAAATGTAAATAAGCTAGACAAGACATGTTGATAATGAGTTCAACCAATCAAAAAACAGTCCATGTTAAGCAAGATTTCATGAGCCACAGATTCAAAATTCGATGGCTACATTTTGTCTATTAGAAACAGAATTTTGATACAGTGTAACGAGCTACGAATGGTTGACATTTTGTTGAAGAGGCAGCATAATTTAAGAATAATTATTTAATAGTACGTAAATAAAAAGGCTCTTTAAGAAATAAGAGGAAAACGGGAAAAAATTGTCAAAATTACAAAAAAAAAGGAAGCATCAAAATAATAAAATGTATAAATAAATGAACTAATCAAAACTGAAAAGTACGTACATGGTATAAATAAATCAAATAATAAGATAATAAATTATATAAAATTATACTTAATAGAGTATAACAATTAAGTAAAGAGTTTTTATATGTAGTTCTAATAAAACGATATTGAACTGGATGAAGGTACAGTTGTTATCAATGTTTTTTAAACCAGTTAATAACTTCAGTGATGCTGATCCATTGAATAAGTCCTAGGTGATTTTTAATTTGTTTATTGTAGGATTGTGTATATCTTACTTATTATAAAACGCAGATTGTGTGTGTGTCTGTAACGTTTATATATTGGATCGAATTTCCTACATTTTTTAGCCGATTTCAACAAAACTTCACAGGACTACATAAAATTACCTTGTGATAGTTCTTATGGCGCCGAAAATGGGAAAAACACATTGTTTTTTTAAACAAAATCAATTTGAAATAACGATTAAGACACATCGTGAGAATGAAAGGGGGACAACTCACCCACGAAAATGTAAACAAAAGAGCATAGCATGATGAAAAAAAAGCCGAACTTGACGAAAACAAAATTTTATTGTCTAATGTTCATATTATTATTAAAGAGGAAAGATCAAAGTATTTTTGGGGTATTTTTTTTTTACATTTTTTAATTGTTCTTAGCACGTCTGAAATTTTCGTTAAAAATATTGTTTTTTTTTTTTTTTTTTGGTCAAAAAAAAGGACAGATAATCAATCATTTTTTTCGATTTGATAAAATAGGGAAAGATAATTCCACGTACTTTAGTGCCGTTTTTTTCAATTCCCTTTGCAATTTGTTACAAGGCAGATCAATAAGGCATTGGTTCTATTTGAAATTAATTCAATATTTAAAAGAAAGTATTAAAAATAATTTAAAAATGCCGATCGTAAGAAATCTGATAGACAAAAAAACAACAATATTTCAAGATGATAATTATTAAGGAAAGAACACAGTACTTGTAATAAATTAATAAACCCAAATAAAGTTAATATTTTTGTATTAGAAACAACGAGTGGAAAATATATTCAAATCAGAATTCTAATTATGAATCACCACAAGCAAAATATGCAATTTTTTTTACTGTATTCAATAAGTAAAAATCATAAATTGTAAAAGATTACAGAGAAAGGCTATCTACATTTTTCAACCGATTTCAACAAAACTTCACTTTTTTTTGGTAGGATAGCAAAGGTGAACAAAGGCGGAAAAAAAGTTTTTTTTTCAAACAAGTGTAATTTTTTTATTAAATGGAAAAACAAGTAGATTATCTCGTGGTA